CGCATGGTCGGGGGGAGGGGGCACACAGGTCTGAGCGGGCAGGAAGGGAGGGGAGCCGGCGGGGAAAGAGGGTACGGGGGCCGCATGGTCGGGGGGAGGGGGCACAGCAGGGACCGTGGGTACGGGGGCCGCGGGTTGTGTATTGTCAGCATACATTTCTACGAGTGCTCTGCAGGCTGGGAGGAGTTTAGCGGCTGCCATATCTCGGCGGGAAATGTTATTAAAAAGCTTATTACCAACTGTGTCCCAGAAATCTCTGGTAAAAAAATCTGAGTGTTCTGCGTTTGGGAAATTAACTAGAGTCCAGGTTAGGAGGGTTTTTAGTTCTCTTTTAGGCAAATTACTTTGGCTGGCTTTCAGTAAGAATTTTAGTTGCTTATACAGCTTTTTGTTTGGGGTTGAATAGCTTTGACCCATGATAGACTGGTTTGTGACTCACCTCTTATTTAAATGATGTTGGCTCGTCTCTCAGAGCTCGGGCGATGGGTGCTGGCCAGGCACCTCCTGTCCGTTCTCTGGTGTCACTTAGTAATACTCGCACATAACCACGCTGCACAGCCGTCTAAAAACTACGGTTTGGACACTGCAGCGGAAAAACTTTTAGAGAGATCGGGGTGCAGATGCTGTGGCAGCGTTTGCCCCTCGCTCGACCACGTAGAGGCTTTCCCCGCCCAGCCCAGGTGAGACGTCGCCTTGCAACGCCCCCCTGAGCTCCACGGGGGCTCCACGGAAACCAGGGGTTCAGACGCTGCTTGGCAACCTGCACCCCGAAAAAACCACGCAGGGGGGGAGTCCCGTGTAGCACAGAAGAGATGTGGCTTTGCCACCCTCTCTCGTGTCACAGGACCCTGCGGAAACCAGGGGTGCAGAGGTCGCTTGGCAATCTGCACCCCGAATAAACCACGCAGGGGGGGAGTCCCGTGTAGCACAGAAGAGATGCGGCTTCGCCACACTTCTCAGTGCCACAGGGCCCTGCGGAAACCAGGGGTGCCGAGGTCGCCTGGCAACCTGCACCCCGAATAAACCACGCGGTGGATACCTCTAAAGCTCCGGAGCTGACGCTGCTAAGCAACAGCCGGCCCGTGCCCGAGGGTGCCGCGGAACAGGGGAAAGAGTTACAGTGTTACGGTGATCAGCCGCATAAACTGCACTCTAGACGGCCTTAAAGGGTGAAAAACCAGTCTTTCTAGTTACCAGTGATGGAGAAGTGTCTCACCGATGGAGAAGGCGTGGGACGGGTCTCAGACGTTGGGCGCCAATTATTGTAGTTGCAAAAACACTCGCTCGCGGTGAGAGACTTCTCCAGGGTCAAGCTGTTCAAGTATAAGCGATTTATTATAAGAGTAAAAGGAGGGGAGGCCCGTGTCCGCCACCAGCCTTGGCGTCCACGTGGTCTGGGGGAGGGGAGAGAGAACAGGTAGAGCAGGGAAGGTGAGGTTGGAAGGGAGAGGGAGGGAGTAAGAGAGCAACAGAGGGAAAGAGCAGGGAAGGCGAGAGGGGTAGGAGCAGGGAGAGGGGGCTGAGAGTTAAGAGGGGGGAGAGGGGAGAGGGGTAAAGGGAGGAAGGAAGAGAGAAGATTAAAGAGGCAAGAGGTAAGAGTAAAGAGAGCGAAGTTCTTGTTACAATCCAATATATCTTTTTCTATCGTGAATATTCTAATTACCAGAAACCAATCACCATGAGACACAGCCACTAAAGAATTTACATACAACCTATGGGCTTCCCTATATTAACATACAGTGTTGCATTTTATACTCTACAGAGCTTTATAAGTTCTTTCCTTGCTTCTTTACTTTTGGACTCTTCTTATCAGCAGAAGGACATTGTTTTATCAACAGGGATTCTCCTCTAGCTGGCTAGGCTATTGTTCTTTGGTTAACCAGTACTCAGTATCCTATAACTCAAAGCAGGCTTTCATTTCTACTTTGATTCTAGCCTTCATATTTTCACAATCTAGTGCCAAACAATCACATTCATAAGGTTTCCCTGTTTCACCTTCCCCAACAACCACCTCCCCTAATGATGAACAGTTCTGTCTTATCCAGTTGTCCCTTTTCCTTTCTCAAGTACTGGAGGAAATGTCTGTGCAGACGATGACATATGCTAGGGGAAGCAATGTCTCTGTGCCAGCTCCTGATGCAGGAAAGGAGGAGATGCCAGGCCCAGACACAGGAGGTAATTGCTGTGCTGGGCTCTCCCTCGGCCGGGCTGTGTGCCAGCAACTCTTCCCCTAGGGCTGGCCCTTGCATGGCTGAGCAGCAGCCAAAGCTGGAGGTGCCACGGCTTCCAGGCCTCTGGAGCTCATTCCCAGCCCCTGGGAAATGGGACTCATTCACCAACATCCATCCCACTGCAGCTGCTCCTGGAGCTGGCCCTAAGCATCCAGAGGCCCAAGGCACAGGAGCAGCCCCGAGTGGGAGCCCTGCCACGAGCCCAGGGCCACAGCCAGCCCTGGCTCCCAACTGGGCAGGGGCTGCACTGGCCCCTGACAGGGCCTGGCTCTGTCCCCTTGGGCTGGGGGAGCTGTCACAGAGCAGGGAGGGTCAGGGGTGGCAGTGGCTGCTCAGGGATGGGTTTGGCCCGTGTCCCTGGAAGGAGCCACTGCCCAAGCAGCTGCGCTGTCCCCGGGCTCTGCTCCCGGCCTTCTGGGCTTTGTTGGGTGGCACAGCCTGTGCCAAGGGCCAACAAGGTGCCTGCAGGCCCCAGCTCTGGGGGAAACAGAGAATGTCCTGGCCATATCCAGCGTGCTGCCAGCTCAGCAGTGGAGCACAGCACAGGCTCACGCTGACCATTGCTTTCACAGAAGCACTTGGCAAGTCAAATATAAATGCTGAGAATCCACCGAGCACCCCAAGAGTGTTCTGCCCGCAGGATGTGCGCAAGTCCTGCATGATAGGCACTGTAGTGACACTGTTCACAGTGCCCCTTTCCATGGTTCTCTGCTATGTTGGATTCCGGTGGTGGAAGGACAAGAAACGGTAAGTTGTTGTTCATCTCCATCCTCCAGCTTCTTGAAAGGCTGTTCATGGTCGGGAAGCATTCCCAGTGAGGCTGCTGTGCACTTGTGTCTAGTCCTTGGTTGCCCAAATAACTCTCCCAAGAGTTCTGCTGCTGCCCAGGCCTTTAATTGGCCTCTTAATTGCTGGGCCTTGTCCTGGGGAGCCCGCTGGGGCTGCAGCCAGTGCTGGCTCCCACTGAGGCTGCCTGGCCAAGAGCAGCCCCAGGAGCAGCGGGCAGAGGCAAAGCAAGGTGGGCAGGAGAAAGAGCAGGGACGAGATTGCCCTTGAAAGGCAGAGGCACTCTGGGGCCCGCTCCTGGCCAGGGACCCTGCCCAGAGCCATCCCCTGCTCGCCGGGGCCTTGAGGGGCAGCTGTCCAGCTGGGCCAAGCTGTGCCAGCAGCTCCAGCTGTGCTGGGGAGCCTTGGCCGCTCTGGGCCCTGCTGTGGCTGGCCCACTTTCAGTCCTAGCTGGACCAGGGTGGCTGGCTTGGGAGGGGAGGAGGTGGGGGGATCTCAGGGGGCTTCTGCTTCACAGCCAGGCTGGGGGGCCGTGGAGGAGGCACGGAGTGCTGGTGTTCTGCTTTCTGGAACGATTCCTCCTTCTGAGGCCACGTCTGAGAGCTGTCAAACCGGACAGTCTTTGGGCTCCCTGGGGGCAAGGGAGAGTCGTGCCTTCTTGGCCGGGAAGCTGCAGCTGCAGCAGGGCGACTGTGGAGAGAAGAGGTGGCTGAGGCCCCCAGCTGCCGCTG